CCAATATGGAGAGTTTTGAAACGAGGTAAAAGAATAGCTTTTTATTAATTAAAAGACGATTAAATTTTATTTTATTTTTTTTTCATTTTAAACGAAAGAATAAGTGGGAAAACAAAGAATAATAAAAAACAAAGAAAGGTATCTTCATCTTTCCCAACTCTCCAACTAGTCTAATCATACCCACCCTCCCTTAGTGCCCCCATTGTCGCCCACATTCATTGTTGAATAATATTAACAGTGATATTTAACACCAGTTTACGTATCAACATATCAACATAGGTAACAACAAATGATAGAATTAATTAGATGTAAGGATATAGAACTCATTTAATAAGTCATATCGTGTGTTCATAAGTAAACTGGTATTAAATACCATCGATACTAGACAATATTATTTATCATCACTCCTCATGCCTCAAACACCTTGTCTTAGTATTATCCACTTTATACAATGACATTTATGGAGACCATTACAAGCATCACGTACCAATCAACATAACATATTGTTATGCAATTTGAAAGGGTGTATGAACAAAGAAATCAAGTTCTTATAGAGGGAAGCTCTCCAAATCTTTGGGACATTGACACCAATAGCACTAATTGGATTTGGGGCTAAGAAATTATTTGACAATATATATATATACTTTTTTTTTTTTTTTGGGGTACATGTCGGTTTAATTGACAGAGTTGCAATCAAATAGTGCTAATTTCATGAATTTTCCAAATCCTGACTGCTCCATCTGCATTTTAAGCCCTTGTGTTCAAGAGGATTGGTAAAGAATATTTAAATATTTACACATTGTTCATATTTGATATACAATATTATATTTTACTTCCAATATTTAAATTACTTTTACCTGTAAACGCCGTCGGGTGAAACTATGTCCCTATGACTTCGTTCCTCGAGTAATTTGGACAGCAGAATGATCACAATTCGGGACTTTCTACACCAAATTTATCATATCCAATGAAGGCATTCGCTCTTGGGTGGCAACTAAAGATCAGCCTCATGAAAACCTTAAAGTTCCTTATGTATATTCCAATAGGGGTGAACAAAAAACCATCTACCCAACAAGCCGAACCGAAATCGCCATTTTAAAACCATTGATTTAATTTCACGGTGATTTAAGTTTCCACTGATTCAGAACCAAACCGAACCGTTTGGAAAGAATTTGGTCTAAGTTTCAATTGTTAAAATCCAAAGTGAATTATCAGAGTTAAAATCCATGGCCCCACCCTACCCCACTCCATCCCCCATGACTTCATGTCAACACAATTTTACTTGCATCAGATTATAGCCTGTTCAGCTGTTCTCGCATTTCTTCTTCTTTGTAACATGAACAAGTAAAGGGCAGTCCATTCAACATATAATCTCCTTCAAACAATCGCAAAACTGGATGGTGGGCCATAATTGTCCCATTTGGGCAAAATGATAACTAAAGCTTTTGCTTTCATGTCCACGAGAAAATGACACATTGATGAAAACTTGTTACACAAATAACAGGGTATTGGGGCATCTCATCAATTATATGCATACCGCGATGTACATTCATCTATAATTATATACCACTCGTGTAAGAAATCGACACATCATATACCCCTTCGTGCTAGTATTATAAAACCAATCACACATTTGCCATTGTCAAGTACAAA